GATTTGAAATATCGTAGACTAAATTCTGCTTTTCATGAACACTGCCTTTTAAATAATTGTAATATAGACAAAAATAATATAGATATTTTACACAGAGAAAAAGATACATATAAAAGAAAATTCAAAGAAAGTATAGAAATAATCAAAAATCAAAATAGTATAAATAAAAATCCTAGCATCTCTATAAACGAAAACTGGTTAAAAATTTTATATTAATTGTATTCACTAGATCCAAACTATTATTATTGTGAGCAATGTGCTAATTAATAATAATTATCGAACTGTTAAATAAATCAACAATAACAAAAAACTGTAATGTTGTAATGAGAGTCAGATAATATGTAAATTTGTATTAACTGTTGATCATGTCTATTAACTCCATGACATTGTAAAATCATTAGTTCATATAATAATCTATGATATTAAATACTGAAATGTTAAATAAACCAATAGTCATACATTGAAAAAATAGTGTAGAAGTCAGATATGTAAATTTATATTGTAAAGTTATGTAAATTCGTATTATATTGTAAATGCGTATCAAGGAAATAAGGATTTCGTAAAACAGATTATGAGTGTAAGGCATGATCAATTGTATGCTAATTTGATAATTGTAGTCCAAAGTATGTTTAAAATCAAGGATTTTGTAGAACTGTTTTATAAGTGAAAGGTATAATCAATTGTATACAGTTTTAATAACAACCGTAATCAAGGTATGCCTTAATTGAAGATAGTTTTATAGATTCTTATGTATACTTTTGTATATATGTGTCATATACTCCCCTAATATTATAGTTATTTATGAATAAGCTGACGTTACTGGAAAATATCGAGAGTAACTGTTACTGAAACGGAAGTAAGCTGTTACTCCAGTCTATAAGACTTATATACATGGTATGTTTTAGATTTTTATGAATTCTACAAAACTTGTGTTTTTTATATGTATGTTATATTCTTTTTTAATGTTTTAGTTGGCTGAAGAAGGGCTTAAGAGCCCGAAACGTGTAAAATGTTCACAAGTATCAACTAAATAAAGATGAGAAAATCCGCCAAGTGTCTTAATTTATAGCACTTTATTGTGTTAGAAGAATAAATATATACCATGTTTAAATTTTTCTCCATTGCGTGCCGCTTCACATTGAATTTTCGTCGATGTTAAGCCTAATGAAAATTTTTATAATAATAATTGTGGCTATTGTATTGTTAAAAATTATTTCTTTATTTTGTACAAACAAAATAAATATATTGAAAAATATAAAAACAAAAAAAATATACTTTAGAAGTTAATCTAGTATCAAAAATGTTTGATTCAGCATGACACAGTCCAACTGGAATGCTTTTGGTTAACTGACATTTTGGTTGATTGGCATTTGGATAATCAATACTCTACTGTACATATATGTGTGAACCTTGCTGGGTAAAATGTTAGCTGGCTGGCTGAGTACCATGATGGTGGAGTTATAAGGCCGTGGGTGTAGGAGTTGTTTGCAGCCAGCGCTGTGATTAACCGTGTAATGTTATATCGAAATTTGAATACATATGGAAGCAAAGGCTTACTTGGGGTCTGGGTATCACAACTGACAAGCACATCACACAGCAAGTGAAGGCTGGGGTTCAAGTCTTGTCCCGGGTCAGTTCTTTTCTTCCAGGTGTTCTAAATTAGTTAATAAATTATTGAAATTATAATTATTAATTTAGGTAAGAAATGGTGTCTAATGTCTACCTCTAATACCAAATTACTTTGCATTAATTATTTAGCATGTTAATTAACTGCCATCTGACACGCTGGCAGTCGTACTAATTACAGCCGTACAGAGCCACCTGACCGCTTGACATTGCTATAACCAATGTAATTTTACTTAAGGGTAAATTATCTGGGCTTCGTAAGATGTTTTACATCCTAGTGGTGGCCTCTCACACACATGTATAAAGTTGGCTCTGACCGCTGGCCATCGTATGGCCTCATGAAGTGGTTCGATGACAACTTAAAAAGCGAAATACAATTGTTCTTGGATATGAAGAGATATGCCTTTTCTCATTTTGGTAATAAAGAATGGATGTGTGATTTTGGGTTTCTTATTGACATGACTCAGCATCTCAATGATCTTAATGTGGAACTTCAAGGCAAAGGACAGTTTATTCACAACTTGTATGATAAAATTCAGGGCTTTGAGCGCAAATTAAAATTGTGGAAACAGCATCTTTTGCAGAATAATGTGTCTCACTGTGGAAACATTTAGAAAAAGAAAACGTTACTGCTTCTCAAAAATACGCACAATATATAGACATTTTAATCAACGAATTTCAATTACGATTCCAAATGTTCAAAGCTGAGAAGACAGCGGTTTCCATGAAAATGTTTTCCTNTTAAAAATTATTTCTTTATTTTGTACAAACAAAATAAATATATTGAAAAATATAAAAACAAAAAAAATATACTTTAGAAGTTAATCTAGTATCAAAAATGTTTGATTCAGCATGACACAGTCCAACTGGAATGCTTTTGGTTAACTGACATTTTGGTTGATTGGCATTTGGATAATCAATACTCTACTGTACATATATGTGTGAACCTTGCTGGGTAAAATGTTAGCTGGCTGGCTGAGTACCATGATGGTGGAGTTATAAGGCCGTGGGTGTAGGAGTTGTTTGCAGCCAGCGCTGTGATTAACCGTGTAATGTTATATCGAAATTTGAATACATATGGAAGCAAAGGCTTACTTGGGGTCTGGGTATCACAACTGACAAGCACATCACACAGCAAGTGAAGGCTGGGGTTCAAGTCTTGTCCCGGGTCAGTTCTTTTCTTCCAGGTGTTCTAAATTAGTTAATAAATTATTGAAATTATAATTATTAATTTAGGTAAGAAATGGTGTCTAATGTCTACCTCTAATACCAAATTACTTTGCATTAATTATTTAGCATGTTAATTAACTGCCATCTGACACGCTGGCAGTCGTACTAATTACAGCCGTACAGAGCCACCTGACCGCTTGACATTGCTATAACCAATGTAATTTTACTTAAGGGTAAATTATCTGGGCTTCGTAAGATGTTTTACATCCTAGTGGTGGCCTCTCACACACATGTATAAAGTTGGCTCTGACCGCTGGCCATCGTATGGCCTCATGAAGTGGTTCGATGGTTGTGGTATTTTTTTAAGAAAAAGCTATTTTATTTCTGATAGTGTTTTTTTAATAGTGAATAGTTAAAAAAGGAAAAAAATTTAATTATTCTCTTTTATTACATGTAAATAATATTACCGAACAAAAATAAAAGTATATAAGTGTGAAATAATATATATTTACAGAAAAAAATTTATAATGAGTATAAAAGTATAAAAATGTAAATAACTGTCAACTGTGCTTACAGCAAATATGTGAAATTCAAATTACAAGATGAAGTAAACAACATGTGCAGTTCAAACAAATTGTAAAATACTTTTAACACATAGATGTAAAAACTTTTAATTAGATGAGCACATGTAATTACAGGGTGTTGTAATATAAATAGCCTGTGGTCTTATAGCCTCTGGTTCAAGTCCATACGACCACCGGTTGTCATTCATATATTTTTTTTTATCTTCACTCTACTGACTGTTATGTAACGACCCTTTTATTTACATTATAACAACATATTAAATATCAAATGTTCTTATTGTGGCCGGTAAATACGCAAAATGATGTGAGGGACGAACAGACCCACAATAAAGTGTCATTTTAAATTTTAATTATTGGAAACTTTAATCGGTTAAATTCAAACGTTTTATCGAGTTAGGCTAAAAGCCATAAAAATTATTTCCCACGGAGTTTGTTCCTTGTTGAGTCGGATCCAGTTAGTCAGGGATGTGTCATCCGTAACTTTTGATGGAGTGCCTATATTGGACGCCAGACTGTTAATGGCAACCACCTGACCTCATGGAAAAAACCCAAGAGGAATGGCAAGAGAAAAGAAAAAAGACCCCGAGGTCAGTCGTCATCCGAAGTCCCTCTACAAAAGTCGTCTTCAAAAAGTTTGCTCAACAAAGTCGTCCTCCCGAATTAAAATCGTGACCCAGGATTAACACAGTGATCCAGGATTTAAATCGTGACCAGGATTAAACCCGAGAGAAAAAATTCGTGCCTGAATAAGCCTCTACACTCCTCCTCCACACCAGTGAACGGACAAGATTCGGATCTAGTGGAAAGAACAGTCCATCGACAAGGTATTTATCAACCCGCGATTCGTTTGTAAACTCTCTCTCTCGATGGGCCTCTCTTGAATAGGGAAACTATGACCGAAATTACCTCTCTTTGTATTTCCTTTAGTTTCATTAAAATTGTTAATTGTTAGCAACCATGGACTCCGATTAAGTAACTTCCTCGTCTCTCTCCTCACCTCTACTCCGAATCCAATCGCTCACCCACTACCGCTCACGTGAACGTAACATCGCAATTTCTGAGTCCCCCAGAGACTCGGTGGTGTCAGATTTAGGTTTCCTGACGTGGTGTCAACGAGACATCGACCCTACGGTCACAATATATTACAGGTGGCAGTTAATGTGTTAAATTAGTGGAATTATAGCTTGATTATTTAGGTGATTGTTTGGTGATGCTTTTGTTATATTTTTAGTAGTAATAATTTTAGATTTTTAAACATTTAAAATCTGTTTGTGCATTTCTTTTTTTTATAGCTAATACAAACATTCCATTATCATCTCCTAGTCCAGTACAAAATGGAGAAGAATCAAAACCTCAAATTGCTAAAGTTGGCCAATCCAAAATAGACTATTTAAAACAATGGAGTATATCTACTTATAAATGTACCAGACAAATTTTATCAGAAAAACTTGGAAAGGTAAGTTTAATATCATTTGTTTTGTATTTGTATAAATAAAATTTTCATTAATTCAAAGTAAAATTGATTTAAATGTGAAATTTATATAAGTTTATTGTAATTACTCCAGTATTACTAAAATAAATTATATCTATTTGTAAATTTGCTGACCTGGTGGAGATTGGGGACTTAAAATCTCACTTCTCAGACACCAGTGTAATTTTGCTGACTTATAGGAGAGAATTGTTAATCTCCTATCAGGATGATCTAGGGATGTTTGCATGTGAGTGTGGAGGAGGAGACAGAGATGACAAGTATCTTACAAAAACTTGTTTATAAGAAATAAACGTCTTCCAACACTAGAGGCGTTATACTTCAACACTCCAAACAACCTTTACAGCTCCAGTGGTATTTGTTTACACCTTAGCAAACGTTTTCAGCCTCATCGAGGTCTTCATCAGGCTACTTAGGAATTCGAACACGTTTGGCAATGAACGTATACGATTCAAAATTTATAAACTGATTAAGAATACTTATGGAACGTTACGCACGTGCTAAAACGACTGTAAAGCACGTGTAATATCAAGTTTGCGTAATGGTGGAAGCAGACGAATTATATGCACTCATTAATGGGGATGAGTTCCCTCATAACAAAACTTTCACACACTAGATATACCGATTGCATCCCTGGAGTTGATGCATGTGCCACGTAATCCTGCCTTGTATATTTCTAAAGTTTCCATCGTTCTCAGTTGATCAGTGCAATGTGAGAGCCTGATCATGTGGGCATTTTGTATGTCGGCCGTGATTCCCGGTTCAGTGGCAACCGTTGAGAGGGCGGTGGTGTGTTTTATATTGTCGATGTCATGTTTGTGCTCACACAGCCTTTTGTGAAGGGAGCGTTTGGTTGACCCCCACATAAACCAAACTGCTGTTAAATCTCTCATCCCAAAGCGGGATAGCATATACCCCCGGTGCATGTTTTAAGTCGATTGTGTCTTTCCCGTTGCGAAGGAAGTTGTAAACTGATCTATGCCTTTTATAAGCTATCTTAGTTTTATTGATGGATGAAATTTCCTTGTATATTGCGTCCAGATGGTGGTTGTACCCCACGATTTTTCTTGTACACTCGTTATCTAAATGTTCACCATGGACATTGGCAGTATCTCGTGCGCAAGCCTGTATGTAAGCGCGAGCGATATTATGTACTAAGTTCTTATTATACCCATGTTGTGTGGCCATTTCCTGAATGTGTATAAGTTCAGCTATGATGTCTAGATAATTGGCGTTGTGCGTGAACGCCCTCTTAGTTAAGGCCCTAAAAGCTGCGATTTTGTAGGAGTACGGATCCTCCGAATTAGCGGGGATGAAAAGCGGTACATAGGACTCTTTGTAACAGACCTTGGATGTGATCACATTATCCTTAATTTGAAGGTCCAAGTTCAGGAAATGCAAAGAATTAAAAGCTTTTTAATGCTTTTTTGTGTGTATTTATTCTTCTCTTTTAAAAAACAAAAAGAAATATTTTTGAATGGAAAGGAAGGAAGATAATTAGTGTGAAAGCACCACAACATACAGGAAGTTGGAAAAAGTATTTGAACAATAATAATAATAATAAAAGGATTACATACAAAATAATAGAAGTTAGTATTTTGTTAGATTTTCTCTTGATCTTATTATTGCTTTTGTATGTCTTGGTATTGTCAAAATTAATTCATTGCATGTTGGATAAGTCACAAGAAGCTTACATTCATGAAGTAAACATAAAAAGTAAAAAGGTATTGAGAAAGAACTTTTATTATAACAACTGTTACAACATACCACTTCATAAGAAAAAGACAGAAGGATCAATTTTGCCAACTGGTGGAGAAATAAGTTAAACCAATAAATAAAATAAACAGTGAAACTTTAGTATTACAACTTTAGTATTAATAATAATAAGAATAATATACATATGCCAACATCTCTGCTTGCTGAATAATCATAATTCCAAATATGCAACATTTGCAAATTGTTTCAATTTATCCGTAGGAAGAGGTTTGGTCATCACATCCACAATTATGAATTCTGTTGGACAATATTTGATTTCAACAATTTTCTTCTCGTGCAGGTCATGCATCAAATGACATTTGGTGTCAATGGGCTTTGTCTGTGTGCTTGATCTGTTGGATTTCACCATTTCAATGCAATGTTGGTTGTCTTCAAAAATTGTAGTTGCACTTGACATCAGTATCTGCATGTCTGATAGGAGCTGATGTAGCCAAATGACTTTGTGACATATATATGCTGCCAATATGTATTCAGCTTTGGTTGATATGGTAACTGTAGCCTGCTTCTTGCTATAACGTAATACGGATGACTAGAGTGATGATAAGTAGACTTTCTGTGTTGTCTCTGATTGCCCCTATCACTATCCACGTAGTACTTTAGCTTTAGTTCACACTGTGCCAAAAGATGGAGTTTCACATCTTGAGTGCCAGACAGATAGCACATTATATGTTTTACTGCATTTTAGTCCTGTTCATTGCTGTCAAGTAAGTGAACCTAAAAAATTTTTGCTGCTATTGCTGCTATATCTAGTCTTCACATGTAGTGATATATAGGAGCAAACCAATAGCTTGTCTATACATTGTGTTATCTGGTAATGTTGCGGCTGTCGGCCATAAGGTTATATGTGTTTTAGTTATATTTTATAGTTTTTTTATATATTCGATTCTTCCCTTTTGTTATAACTTCCTTCTAGAAGCTTCTGTCTTAAATCTTATTGCCTTAAGTAGGGATTATCCCTTCTTACTCTTGAACTCTTAGTAGAACTCTTGGTACCAGAACTCTTGATAGAACAAAAGGGTAAGGGAACTATTGCTTTCCCGAAATTACAGGGGAAACAAAAGAAAGGAAAAGACCTAAGGCAAAACGAAAAAAGGAAGGGCCATTCTTGGTCAAGATCTTGAAGCATACAGCAGGACAAGGCAGTGCTCCAACTTTGAGAAAAGTCATCACAAAGGGAACTGCAAAGCCAGAGATAACTGTCGAGGTCGAGGAACTAAAACGAAGAAAGAACGTAAGGACAGTGAGTGTGACTGGAGATCTCTGAGGCACTGAGTTCACAAAGGAGGAAGACATCTGAAAGCATATTATTGAGGAGACACCTTCCACATTTGTACCTGCCAACTAAAGGAAACCTGGGTATTTTCTACTGTGGCAATATGCCATGCTTTGTATATATGTTTTAGTGTTAAGCATAATATTAAGTTCCTTAATATTTCGTTCTGTATCTTTCTTCTCAAACTTTCTAACAGTCTTTCCTTCCTGTGAGTGGGGACACAGTTTGGGGAACTACACCAAGGAAACAATAGAAAGAGAAAAGCCCTGAGGCGAGTTGGGAAAGTAGGTGGACATTCTTGGTGGAACGTTCGTAGTGGACAGACATAGAAAGAGCAAGGTCTGAAACATTGTCTAGTGGGAAGACAGGAATTGTCGGCAGTAATAGGAACAAACCATAGCGTCAACATAGTAATTGAGAATTAAGTGAATGATTTTGGATATATAAACTTTGAAACAAAGAAGAGTAGTGGAAAACGAACTGAGTGATCCCTTCACCTGAAAGACCTAAGATTTTCACGAAAAATTCCCTGGTACCATAGATACTTTCATTATCACCTTCCTAACACCTATTTTATATCTTTCTTCTTTTTTAGTATATAAGTTAGTTTTAAGTTTAGTTATAAAGATTTGGGAAAGTCCAACTGTAACACTTATTGTTGCAAAGTGTGCACCCTTTTGTTTGTTAACACTCCTGTTCATTGTAAATTTATATACAAATGTGTATGTTATAGTTGGAATCCAAGTTAGAATCCTGTGTAAAGAAAACCACCACGTGGCTCGAATAATAAATTTTGTTTATTATCATTTGTACTTACTTTCGCTGTTCATTGTACTATCATATGCATCAACCACACTATCTTCTTCAGTCTACCTGACATACTTTCCTAAATCTCTGTTCCCTCTTTCTCTTAGGTTTAAGATAGGTATAAGATTAGTTGTTAGTTGGTCGGGTTCATACTGTATGTTATGCATGCATTGTTCACATGCACATGGGAGGACAATAGACTACCCTTTTGTTTAATAGTAATATTAAATCTGTAAAGTTGGGATCTGTACTAAAAGAACAGGTTTGGATAGAAATAAAGGATATTTTGTTTGTATATCTGTTTTATGTATCACTATTAGTAACGTTTGTTTGCGGGCCTTACTATCTCTCAGTAATGAACAACCACAATGTTTTACTTGAACTGTCAATGCTGTTTCAATATGCTATTTCCATTGGGGTGGTAGCAGATCTGGCTTCTGTCATTTTATACATATCAAGAATTTTTTTTCAGTATCAACTAAATAAAAATTAATGATGAGATTTGCCTTGTGTCTGAGTGAATACACTATATAGTTGGTGTTTGAGTTGCATTTTTTTTCAATTTTGGATCATTGGTGTGTAGTGATGTGCCGGGTATCCGTATCCGTATCCGCGGATATCCGAGGGAAAAAAAAAATCCGTATCCGTATCCGTTACTTTTTAGCGGATCTTTAACGGATCTTTTATCTTAATGAATTTCATTACTTATATGAAATTTTAAAGATAGGTAGCAATAGCACATTCGTCATTTACTATCGTAAAATATTTCCATATTACACTACTAAATTTTTTTGTCGGCATTGTTTTTATTTTAATTTAACTCAACACTCTCCAAAAACACAAACGTAATCTACGCTATCCCGTGTCACACTAGCCACAAACCAGTGTTTCCCAACGTGGGGCCCACGCCCCACAGGGAGCAATTGGATTGCTAAGGAGGGCAATTCGAAAATGGACTTGTACTTGTCCAGAGTTTAAGTTAACAGTATAGCCGCTGTATATGTTAGGGAGACTAGAATTTTAGAAAGGCTTAGGTGGGGCATAGCAAAAAAAGGTTGGGAAACACTGCACTAAACTATTGTGGCGGTACGCTATATTTTTGTAAATATTAATTTTAGTTTAGTTTCGTTTCTTCTTTCTACCCTTTGTTCTATTGTTCTATTTTCTTCTAAAACTTTCTTATCTATTCTCTGTCCCTTGGCTGGGATAAGCAGTTCCTAGAACTTTGAGGAGCAAAGGTGTAAACAGAAGCCGGAGAAAAAAAAGAAGTGACGTAGCAGATCATTCGTAAACTGGACAGCAGAGTGTACGGACGAGGTGAGAATACTGGGAGTCGTATTTTCAATGACCGGATAGTTCAGAAAAAAGATCGTGTTTTAAGGTCGTATTGACGACTGTGGAAGAAAAAATCCTAATTATTGAAGAAGAGAACTGGCCAGTTATAAGAGAAGGGCGTGTGTTATCCCACCCAACAGTATGCATAAAGAAACAAGCCGAAAAAAGGGACAAAACCCCAGATATCTCTATTTCTATCTTATCTATCATTTTTTCTGTCTTCTTAATTCTATCCCTTTTTCTGTTATTAGTGTTAAGTTAGTGTTTAAGGTTAGTTTTAAGGTTCCGGGTTATATTGTCGCGATCGGGATCTGTATTGTACACGTGATTTGGATACAGCGAACTATTATTATCGCTGTAATTTCGCATGCTACTGTTTGTACCGTGAAGTTGGAATCCCCCGAAATAGAATCTGTATAAAGACGCAAAAAAGCTCAATTGGAAAATTATATTAACTTTTGTTACTTTATCCTGTCTGCCTTTGTGGTGAATTCTAATTTAGCACATTTTTACACCATAAACAAAAACACGCGCAGTGCAAGTCAAAACACGTCGCGTTATTAACGCAAAGCGTCAACTATCGGTCCAAGGTCACACGCACCGGCGCTGACTGAGTACGAAAGTTGAGATCCGTATCCATATCCGTATCCGCGGATCTAGACACGAATGATCCGTATCCGTATCCGTATCCGCGGATATACATTTTTAACGATCCGGCACATCACTATTGGTGTGGAAGGAATGTATCATCATCTTCCCGCTCAACTTGGATCTCAAAATAGCAGGTCCTTGATTACAAAATCTTGTTTAGGCACTTGCATATATTGTCAATGTTTTCAGCATGCTTCCTTGCAACTAGAATGTCATTGACATATAGAAGGATATATTTTAATGAACCATCCTCTTCTGTTCTTGAGTATAAACTTAGATCAGCTTTGCTTGGCACAAACCCAAGGCCTTTTAATGCAGCATTGGCTTTCTTTTTCTTATTCCATGCTCTTGCAGATAGATTACTTTAAACTATAGATGGTATGATTTAGCTTGACTACAAGATTTTCTTGTTGAACAGAAATGTACTCGGCAAAATAATTAATCAAGTAACAAACACCTTATTCGTTGCCAAGGGAGTTTATTAACCCCTTTATCATTTCTTAGAATCTTGTACAGATTCACAGTACTTGTACTCGATTTAAGATTAACATTGATCCTTTACTGTCCACAATCTCCTTCATGACGGTTCTTACATTTTTGTTGAACGTACACTTTATGTATTTACTAGGCCCTTGTATCGCCTATCTCAAATTTTCTAATAATGCCAGCGATTATGTTTCTCCTGTAACCCAAGGTTTCTGCTATCTGCATAATCCTTTTTATTTCTTTATTTCTTTTCATAATGTTATTGCAATATAGAAAAGCCCTTCTGACTAAGGCACGAAAAGTTGCTAATTTATAATGAAATGGATCATTGGACTGCGCAGGAATGTAGAGTGGGCTATGTGTTGGTATACACATTAGTAGATAAATGCCCTTTCTTAAAGATGATATTGATATCCAAGAAATGTATCACTACGGAACTTTTCTGCTCTAGCTTCAGGTTTAGGCTGTCTTTGTTATCGTTGGTTCTTTCTATAAAATTACTGATTCCTCGATTACTTTTCCATAGTATAAAGAGGTTACTTTTCCATAGTATATCGTCCACATATCTCTTGAAGTAAACAATATCATTTCTGAAGCTATGCACAACCTTTTCCTCTATTTTTCTAACCACCAATTCACACAGAAGCCTCGATATTATTGTGGTCTAGTAAATACGCAAAGTGTGCATTCAACAAAAATGTAAGAACCGTCATGAAGGAGATTGTGGACAGTAAAGGATCAATGTTAATCTTAAAACGAGTACAAGTACTGAATCTGTACAAGATTCTAAGAAATGATAAAGGGGATATTAAGAAGGAAGATAAAGCAGGAGTTTATAGAATCCCGTACAAGAACCAGCAGTTAGGAATAGAAAAGGAGTACATAGGAGTTACAACGAGAAACCTAGGAGTAAGGGTCAGAGAGCATAAATATGATATTAGAAAAAGATCTAACACAACGGTTCTGGCTTAGAAGGCTCAGGCCCAAGGATCCGTACTTAGGTGGGAGGATGTGGAAATCATCAGACAAGTGCACTCCCCAACTTTAGTGAAAACTGCTGAAAAAATGGAAATATATAGGAGCAAGCTAGATGAAAAACGTATAAACGCCAGAGATGCAGAGGGCCTACCCTCAGCATGGAAGTATGCCATTAAAAAACTTACAAGTAACTCTTGAATTGCGCCATATCCACAATTGCGTTATGGGAACCTTAATGATTTTTATTGGTTAACGGATAGTGGCTTATAATAATATTTAATAGTTGTATGTTATTTATTTTTACATTTATGTATTTTTACGCTTTAATTTTAATTTTAATTAGTTGCTACGTTGTCGGTATTTACCTCTTTGAATTTGAATTTGTTGTTCTATTTTTTGTTATTCCAAATTCGAATGTTTCAACCTGAGGATGATCTATGGAGTAGATCGAAAATGTTAGTTTTTAATAAACTCCCTTGGCAACGAATAAGGTGTTTGTTACTTGATTTTCTTGTTTTTTTTTTCTTTTTACGAAACTCTGCAATTTTTCCATGTATATTACTTCCTCCAAGTCGCTGTTGAGGAAGGCTGATTTTACATTGAAGTATCTCACTTCTACTCCTTGGTATGTACCAACAGCAAGTAGTATTCAAACAGTTTCATGTTTGATGACATGCAAAGGTTTCATCAAAGATCTCTCCTTATTGCTTTTGAAAGCCTCTAGTGACAAATCTTGCTTTATAAGCAATGATTTTTTCCAGTTGCATCATGTATACTCCTGGGAGTCTTTCAGGGTTCAGGAGTATACACAGTACCACTAGAAGACAGAAGGTGTGATAGACAACTGACATATATTGGTTCCACGAAGTGTTCATTAAAAGTGAGGTTAAAAGAACATGAGTCATATATACAGCACGGTAGAAACACAACGGCCCTGGCAACATACGCTTCAGAACAGGAAATAATGGCAGACTGCATGCGGCGAAAATCATTATAACCAACTCCAACCCACAACAACCGAAATGGCTATAAGCCATGGAGATATTTAAGGCGGGAAGAAACGGTATGTGTATTAATTATAAAGAGGAAATGGCCCTATCGATAGCATGGCAGATTTTGCTGGATAACAGCGTTTAAAGCGATGAGTATGAAGCATGAGCAACACAAATTCGGAACAATTTCAAAGGATAGAATTCGGAACAGATTCATATCGAATGTTTATTTGAATATTAAAGGCCCATTCGGTATAGCCTGAAGAAGAGCCCAGGAGGGGCGACAAAAACATTCGCAATTCTAAAAATAGAAACACTCCGGTTAAAGGTTTGAGGAGTATTTTATTTTAATATAATAAATTTTATATAAAAACAATATGTGGTTTACACAATTAAATTCAATAAGGAGAAAGAGAGACTTAAAGTGATCAGTATCTGATCACTTTAAGTCTCTCATTCTCTAAGTCTTTATATAACTCTCTTATAATTCACAATTTTTCATTTAAAATTGCCATGGTGGTTTATTTCAACTAAGGTAGCATTGTTCCTCATCACCTTGGATAGTCGGGGTTCTATCGTACAATATATATTGTTGACAATTCTATGTTTTAAATTTTGAAGATTAAATCTAGGTATAATATGTTTAATTACCTTTATATTTATGAATTTTGTAGGTAGCTATTAAATTAAATTTAATATGTTTATAATATTTGTGAATAGCTAGTTTAATTAATAGAATAATTTGGGATTAATAACAATTAAAATAGTAGCTTTAAGAAATATTCACAAACATGAATATCATTAATTTGTCAACAAGAAAAACACTTACACACTTTTCTAGCAAAGTGTACAAAGTTTTTTTTTCTGTTAATATATGGCAGTCTTAGCTTTAGATGTTTTTGTGATCATTAATTCATTTATGTATTGATTTGTAGGGAACTAGAACCATAGATATTGAATTGGAAGCACAGATTGAACAGTTAAGAGAAACTCAACGTAAATACATGTATATATTACGTCTGGTTCGTGCCTTGTCTAGTCATTTCTATCATGTGGTACAGACCCAACAGTCATTAGGAGAAGTGTTTTCAGATTTAGCCCATAAATCTCCAGAACTGCAAGAAGAGTTTTTGTATAATGCTGAAACACAAAGAAATCTATGTAAAAATGGAGAGACTTTACTGGGTGCATTACATTTTTTTATATCAAGTCTTTCTACACTTTGTAATAAAACAATGGATGATACATTATTAACAATTAGACAGTATGAAAATTCGAGGCAAGTATTTTGTTAATATACAGCAGAAAAAAAATAATTTTAAGAACTTATTTAATACATTTTATTTCAGATTAGAATATGATGCATACAGAACTGATTTAGAAGAGTTAATGCAAACTGCAAAAAGTGATTCTACATCATCTAAACTAGAAGAAGCCAGAAGAAATTTTAGTATCTATAAAGAAAAATATGAAAAATTACGTTCAGATGTCTGTGTGAAAATGAAATTTTTGGATGAAAATAAGGTTAGGACTGTTTCTCATATACTATAAATTGTCTTGGATGTTGTAAACTTCTGGTTTTAATTTGTATTGATATGTGTAGTTTTTAATTTGAGGTTAAGAACCACTGCAATAAATTAAATGATTTTGTGGAAATAATTTAAATAATTAAGGTGACATGATAAATATAGTGTTTGAATTTTCATTTTATATATATATAATGAAAATTCTCAAACACTATTCTATAAAACAATTATATATATATATATATATATATATATAAAATTGATTTATAGAATACAAAAGATGATATATGTATTTTGTGTTTTTTGTTTAATATTGATTGAAGGATTCACTAGAAAAGACCAGTTGATAGAGCATAGAAATTTAGATAACAAAGGTCATTTAACTGCTGACCGGTTATGGACAGAAACAATATGGATATTATATGGAATGAAGTCATGTATATTTAATAGTACAGTACATGGAAAACACTATGCATGGGCATATTACAACAAAGGAAAAAAAACATATTACAATCATATCAATTTCAGCACAAAACACTATGATTAACAGTACAGTGGTTAATAATTAGTCTGTTTAAAAAAAAAAAAGAAAAAAGCAATACAATATTAATAACAATAACAAATAAAACTGACAACAATAATAATTATAACTAAAACAGAAAAAAGTAATAAAAATATACACGTAAAGTGGCAGCAAATAGTCAATTCAAACAAAAATTTCATAAAAATTATATAGAGGGAAAAATTAAACAATTACCTGAAAAAATTAAATAAATAATTAATTATAATGTGCCCAAAAGTGCCAACTCTCAAGCACTGAAACATCCACTAATATACTATATCCACATCTGGTGGTTAAAATTCTGAAAAAAATATCTTAAACTAAAACAATTAGTTCTTATTAGCCATTATCTTGTAATAAAATTATAAACACAATCATATTTATTATAATCGCATAACAATTACTTACATGATTGAACTGATAAATAATCTAAACCAAAAGACTTTTGTCTGACAGATGTGATAGCCTTACATTCAGTTACTAAATGAAAAACATCAAAATGAACACTAGAGTAAGAATTCACAATAATCTAAACACAGAGCTATCATTCTTTTAAATATATTGCATCACACATATGACATTGTTTGTATAATACAAAATGGTCTCTATATTTAAATAGGTTACCGAGTCCCATTCATTAAAAATATACAAATACAACTTATTATATTTATAGTTAGCAGCTCTATCTTTAAACTCATTTAAATAGTAATTTTTGCTAATGTCATTAAAATAACAAAGGCATTAGTTTCATTCAACATAATAGGATAATCTTGATAACCAAAATTTTGGAATAAGGACAGTTTGATTTTCCCATGCTACTCTTTGAGAAATTAAGTATAATTTAGTGGACTCAGTGAGTTTACTAACTGACTGTTTATATAATCACCTTAAATTATTTTTTATTTTATTAAAATAAAGAGGGATCCTTTGGAACTTCAAATATATAATGTACAATGGAGTCCATCTTTTTAATGAATATAAATGTTTAATAAAGTTAATTTGTAAATTGTCGTCTTTTCCTCTCCAATCAAAGAGCCCCTTATATAGCAGTACTGACTGAATAAATGACACAAATAATTTTAATTTATCTTTCCAGTGTAACAGTCTACCATACACATATGCTTTGGTAGTCTTATCTGTGCCAATATTAACTTTACTATGAGTATACTTTAAATGCTTAAAAAGTGCCCATTGGACTAGCAAAATACATTGAAATATTTGTACTCGTTAACAACTTATATTTTACATTTCTGTATAAATCAATTTTCATTTTTAGAATGTTTTCTCCATTTCAGTATACCATTATTTTAGATTTATCAGTATTAACAGAAAGTTTTAACTTCTGTTGTACATATTTCAAAACATCAATCATTCTCTGCAGACCTATAAGTGAGTTCTGCCATAACAACCATATCATCTGCATATGCCAAGTATTTCAACTCTGTTCCCAGAAGATAAATGCCTACTAATTTGGAGGCAGTAAATTTTCTAAAAAGTGAGTTTAGATATAAATTAAACAATATTAGGCTCAATACACAACCCTGTTTCACTCCTTTAAACGTGAAAAAAAGATCACTGGTACTCCCTTTACCAGAGACACATGCCTCTGTATTAGTATATAACTGAATCAAACAATTTACAAATTTATAACTCAAGCTAATCTTCAAAAGCTGTCTCCACGAAAGGTCTCTATCTAAAGAGTCAAATGTTGATGTCAGATTAACGAAAAAAACATAAAGTTTATCTTGTTTCTACTTTAAAGATTTTTGAATTAAGGCATATGGAACAAAAATATTATTCATTGATGAGAAACCAGACCGGAAACCATCCTGGAAATTCGAAAGTACCTTGTATTTATTCAACCAAGTTATCAGTTGCATACATAAAATTTTACAAAAAACTTTTGAAATTGTCAGTAGTAACAAAATTGCTCTATAATCATCAGGTAGATCTCTGACCCCCTTCTTAAACATAGGAATAATCTTAGATATATGCCAATCCAATGGAATCTTTCCTAATTGATATACATTATTAAACAAATCTACCATATATCTAATCAAGCCTGGGAAGTACTTACATAGTTTCACTGGTATACTATCAATACCCAGAACAGTACCATTTTTCATAGTAACTAAAACCTTTTCCACATCCTGTTCTGTTACCTCCATATTCAACACATCATCCTGCCAATTCACACACCAATTATATACAGAAATATCTGATAAATATTGTCTGGAGTGAAATTTCCTTAAAAAATAGACCACTCAATCAAGATGTGGAAACTCCTTATATTTAGTTTTAACAAAAAAATTAATGAATTGCCAGTACTGCTTATCACCAGATACCAAACTTATTAATCCTCTGTAATTCGAGTCTCTTCCATATGCTGTCACTCGATCTGCTCTTATTAATCCTCTGTAAAAAAAATCGCCGTTTTTTCTTAGCTCTACATAAATTACGAGTCACATTACATCTATATATATATAAATGGACATGTATGTCCCTATATTTCACTTTTTCGCCAAAACTACACATCGCACGTGAATGGTGTTTGTATGTGGTGGTAGCCCCAAGTCTCCATTCGTGCATAGGGGTGGTTGCGTCTCGATAGCTATAAGGGTGCGGGAGATATGAGGCTAAAAGTAGCTGAAAGTGGCTTTCTATTTCGAATGTTTTGTTTGATTTTTTCGAATTTGTTCGAATTAAATTCGAACATAAAATTCGAATTGGTTCGATTATAGAACGATTGAAAACGTTCCAGAAACGTTGAAATTTGTTCGTTTGACTAAACGTAAAAATTCTCTAATTAGTCTGGAAACGGGGGACCTAATTCTTGCATTTTGTGAAAATGGGTAAGATTAGCTATAATGTAATTATCTTAATCTTCACTATCGTTACTTTTTGCCCAGTGAAGCGGGTCCTTGCAGCTAGATTCTAGATTACTTAGAAAAACAGTCTTTTATATATATATAAAAAAACTATACTATTACATACAAATAAAAACCCAGCGAAGCGGGATCTTGCAGCTAGTTCTTTAATAAAATTATTCACAGCTACACTATTCCCAATCTTCTCATCTCATCTTGTTCAATGCCTGATTTCTTCCAGCAGTACTCAACCTACAATCTGTATCAAACCACAAAAAATTAAAAGTTCCAACCGGCCTTTAGCACCAATGTGAAAATGAGTATTTAATTAAATTACTCAGGACTTCGAACTTTAACACTGGTTGACTCTGAATTGCAGACTATATTTATGATTCACCATATCACTACTTTCTTCCCTCCAAAAAATTCACTCTTTATTACCCATAAGTCTTTTTAACAGTTGTGTTTTCTTTTTAAGTTTACAATCTAAAACTACACTAATTGGAAAATGATTATTATATACATTATCTAACACAGAAAAACTTGTAACAATAGATAACCGAGTCAGCTTAACCAAGGCTAAATCAATTACGGAACATCTTGTTTCACCCACATAAGTATAATAATGTGACCTTTTGGGTTGGCACCTTTTTAGTGCCCTGTCAGGATTGACACCACCGTGTTTATTGGAACACGGAAGCCAAGATGGCAATTACTACGTCACATCGTCAGCGAGCGATCCTGTAAGTGGACAGATGGATTCGTAATGTGTCAGCATATCGAGAGACAGCGTATGGAAGAGACTCAAACTACAATTAATACTTAACAAGGATTTAATTAAAAATAAATTGGATAAGATACAGAGGCTCTAAAGTTTGTCGCGGAGAGAGAGTTCACATAACGAGCGCAAGTTGCATAAATACCCGGTGATAAAAAGTGATCTCCCGATGGAGCTCTCATTTTTTGATAATAGTTCTGATGGTGATTACTTCCACTATAATATCCACTAGCACAATGATGGCACAAGGTATCCAAATGGGCACTGGATGACGATATTCCTGGAGTAATCGGTGCGGGTTTCCTGTGTCGAAAGGACAGACGACGACTGACTTTTTTTGGCCGTCTCTGGTGATATTCACAAACGATATCGGCTGTCCAGAGGTTAAAAGATCACGAGAAAGCATTGTGTTGCCTTCGAGAAAATGTAATGGGAGACTTTCTCAGGTAGCTACGAACGACAATCGTTACGTAACTCAAACAATATTAATATTAAAGTCTAGTTCTAATATAGGAATTTCTGCTACCTTACAATAACCTTTAGACACAGATGATTCTATCATTTAAAATTATATATCCCGCATCTTCACAAAAATACAACACCAATCCTTCGCAATTATTTATCAATGTATCTTGTGATGGTCATGACATCCAACTTGATCAAGATTCTCATTACAATAATAATTCTATTCTTGTCTATTTCACAAACTGAAGTTTGTTGATAGAAAAATTGGTTTTTTACTCTATGTGGATGACATTGTCCTACTAAGTAATAAACCCAAGGACCTCCAGCAATCTTTAAATGATTTAGAGGAAAGTTACAGGAATTTTGGTATGTCAATCAGCTGAAAGTTAGTTTGGAAATCAGCAATAGATTAAACTAGGTAGGTCAAACAGTTTATAAATATTGCCGGTACCTTCCTTCCTAAGCTGTGTTTCGTCTGCCTTAGAAAGGCAATTAGAAGCCCAAGAAGAGCCATGTATAGCAGACTTGCCGACCTTGTTAGAGTAGAGGACAGCATATACAGAAAGGATCCTAACATACTGGCATATGTTAACCTAAGAATTATTAATCTTCAGGTACAAATGTACAATCAGTCCACTTATACCTTATTTGAGCATTGGGTCAATCTTTTTGAAGGTTTGTTTTAAAAGATTTTGCAAGAAAAGCTTTTTTTTTTCAAACTAGTTATTTTTCTATTTTGCAGATAAGCAACAAGAAAAATGCACCTTTTAAAAATCCAGCAAATAAGTTTACTAATAAAAACGTGAACGATGAAATAGTGTGTCAAAATAGAATGTAAATTTACATTCTATTTTATTGTAACTGAAGAGGATTGGTTAAACCAATCGAAAATGTTTTTATTATAAATTTATTTGCTGGATTTTTAAAGGTGTTTTTTTTCTTGTCTGTTTATCCAGTTGATAGAATATATATTGCAGAGAAGCAATTCCTACTAAAACTTTACTATTGTTTGCCAAATTATACTGTAAAAAATATTTGTTAAATTTCAGTTTCATATGTTCTAATTTATTTTTTAAAACAAAAATCTGTTTCAAAAATTTTTGATTTTATCATCTTGTTAAGGTCAAATTTGATATTTTATATTCTAGAATATCTGTACCTAATTTCTTTTAGCCTGTATCTTAGAGAAAGTGGCAAAAACAGATTTTGGTCTAAAGGGTGGAATTTATTTTGCAGGTGAAGGTGATGCACAAGCAGTTGCTGTTGTTACACAATTCTGTCTCTGCCTACTTTTCTGGAAATCAGACCATGCTGGAAACCACTCTGAAACAGTTTAACATCAAGCTGAAGAATCCTAACAGTGGAGAACTTTCTTGGCTGGAACAATGACTGCACTTTCCAGAATCATCTGAAATTATTGGAAGAGACCAGATGCAGAGCATTCATGCACTAGTGGGCAAGTGTGGTAAAAAGTTGACTGCAAATTTCGGGATACTTTTTATATGTGAAACTCTGTGTTTAACATAGATTTAATATATATATATATTATGACATAATAATTGGATGTTCGGGCCACTTTTACTCCAGATGGCGACGGAAGCTTTTTATCCCTTAGGATTGCCACTGTAACAAGCTTGTGGAAATTGCACAAGCAATTCATTCCTGTACCTGGATGTATTCAGACCCTTCTGTTTTACATATGATTACAGAAGTAGTGTTAGAAATGCTGAAAAGATTTTTGGTAGGAAGAGTTCATTGATAAATTAATCTATGAGCATTGATTACCAGTCTGGCAGGCATTTCCATCTTTTGTTCCATTTCACCCCAAGGAAGTTTCAGTGTAACTTAAATGAAATGCCAGCAAAGGGTAAAAGCGTCTTCCGTCCAGTTCCCATGGTAAAGCATTTTTGTAAGGAATCATGGAAATGGTCAGTTTCCTCTAGTTTAAGGAAACCCTGTAAACTGCAAAATTTCCAATAAAAGAGTGAAATTAAACGTGCCTTTATCCTTTGTAGTTCCACTAAATTGCATCTGCTGCCCTTTTTGACTCACTATGTTAATTTGAACATTCCTGAAAATATCACATTTTACCTTTTTCCAACAAAAGTTGATGATAAGTGTGGATAATTCTGTCATCCCATTTGCTTCTCCAACATTTTGACACTTGAAAAGAGAGTGCCATCATTCGAATCTTTGACCCTTCCTAAAAAATTTAGTGATAGGCCAAGGATATGGTAGCTGACTACAGTGATTCCCATTTGAGGCCATCTTTCATACAGATATTTGTTGGTCAGTGAAAGACCAATATGTCTTTCCTTGACTTAAAATTAAGATACACTACTTAAATGGAAATGTGTCATCTATTATGTTCCCAGCTTTGTTATATATAAAGAGGGAAAATAGGGCATTTAGTCAAAATGACTTCCTGAAGATTTTTACATTTTTGACTCTGAGATCTTGAGACGTTGAAAAATGCAAAAAAAATTTAGGTGTTTTTTTTCTGTATGTATGAATGTTAGTGTGTAAAGAGGGGCACAATTTTGTTTGTTTCTTCACTACTAGGTGCATAAATAGACACAAGGCATTTTACATCATCTTTATTGATCTTCTATTGGCCGATACGCGTTTCGGGCAATAGAAGATCAATAAAGATGATGTAAAATGCCTTGTGTCTATTTATGCACCTAGTAGTGAAGAAACAAACAAATAAAGGAAGACATGGTATCGGAAATACATAAGGGCACAATTTTGTTTACCTTGTTTGAAACTTAATAACTCCTGTGCTTTTTGTCAAAAATTTTGAAAGTTTGCTGGGAGGTTTGTGTATTAGGGAGATTGATGCCATTAAATTTTGGTGGTTAAAGGATGAGGGGTGGGGGTCTTGTGTATCACCAGTAGGGTCAGACTTGATGATTTTACTCGTTATTAACATTTACAATTTCTTATAAAACTTATCTCTACTCTCAAAATTAAGCTTTTTGCCATAAACACAACAATTAACACCTAAATGCTAATTCCAGCACTGAATGAACAGAAAATTTTAATGCTCGAACGTTTTCGGTTGTCTTTTAGAGGCCCTCTTCAGGATGAAACACAGAAAAAAACAGTTCTATCATTTGGAAACTTCGAATACAGCCATGTTCCAAATTTTTAAATATTTAAACAATGTACCGTATGGGGTAAAAATCGTTATGTTTACGTTAAAAATTTGAAACACGGCTGTATTTGAACTTTTCAAATGATAGAACTGTTTTTTTCTGTGTTTCATCCTGAAGAGGGCCTCTAAAAGACGGCCGAAAACATTCGAGCATTAAAATTTTCTGTTCATTCAGTGCTGGAATTAGCATTTAGGTGTTAATTTTTGTGTTTTTTTATATTAGTTCCAGTTTACTTGTGCTAGTTTTTTAGTCTGCTTTTTGCCATTTTATAATAGTTAAAAATGTAAAATTGTTTTAATGAAATATAACAAATGGTGCCACCAAAATTTTAAATGTTGCTAGGAAAGTTGAGCAACTCATTATTAATTTATTTTGAATGACAGAGACTTTTTTTATCCTAGCTGAAAGTTAGCTGTTGGATCACACTCTTGTGGGAGGCAGTCCACTGCATCACGTAGGTGGTGGCAAAGTGTGGGAAAATAGAGTTTCTCTCTACTCCTTACCAGCTGGGTGAAAATTGACAGTCCATGCTATCCCATGAATACCTAACACAGCTTTACCCTTTTATTTATTTTCAGAAAGAAATCATCCAAACAATTTTTATGATAATGTAATTTCTACTGCTTTAAAATTCTCAATAACTTGGGAAATGTTGACATCTGTAAGTGTCTTCCTTTTCTTCAGGATGGATTCTCTTAAATATTTGATGTTTGACGCTTAAGAATCTTCCTGTCTCCATGAGTATCAGTGTTTGCTACAATAAAATTTACTCCTTTCAAGTTGGACTGGACAATGAACTTGACTATCAGAATTAATGAATTCATCAAGCCTGAGGTTATGACAAAATTGCATGTCATTTGTTACAGATTTATTTAAGGTTTCTGCATCTAATGAAACTTTCATTTTCTGGCTTTCCCATTCAATGTGCCACCTACTTAACTTATCTGTTGCATGGTGGCCTTCTGCTTCTTCTAACACAAATTTTTCAAAATATTCCCACTTAATTTGTTACCGTCACTGTGAGAATATCCATCAAACAACACTTTTTTCTCCTAACAAATTCATTACTAGTTTAATTTAATAGGACGTGCAGCATCTAGTACAGCATAAATTTTATGATGAGGATTAGCAGGATGGAAGGACCAGCACTGGGCTTTCAACAGCAAATTTTACCACTAATTTTGCCAACACATTCTTGTTTGTTATTGTTCCATCACAAACAGTAGCTACAATTTCTATTCTAGTGTCATGTAATTTCCTTAAGTACTGTTCCACCAAATTAAATATAATTTCTGCAGAGTCCATGTACTAAACAGTAGCCAAGAAGTATTTTCCAGTTTGTATTAACAACTGTCACCAAATAAACAAGTGACTCTTTTGCCACATCGCAGTCCTCACTATTCACGTTTCCTTGCCCAAAATCAACTAGCCACAAATTCCAAATTATGTCCTCCTTAATGGCCATCTCATGATATATCAGCTCCAAGTGTGAGGTCCTGGACAGAAATTGAAATTTTATGTTAATGATGACAAATAACCAGTAGGATAGTTAAACTCTCACCTTTTGAAATTAAACAAAGCAAAGACTTAGTCTCACGAAAACAATAAAACTTCTTTCTGTCAAAAAAAAAAAAAAAAACAAAAGGCTGAAATTATAAGGGAGGAATTTTAGCCAAATGGGATCAGGTTGTGTCAATGATCTCTTTTATGCCCCAAAAGGTTTTTGAATTATCACTGGGTATTTGAATAAGGTTACTGACAATTGTGGGATATCTATGGTAGGTGTATTGCATGGCGTTACTGCGGATATATAGAGGTTCTCCCATAAAAGCAAACAAATTAGACAGCTTTATTCATATGTTAGCTTCTATATATCCATCTATCAACTTTACTGTGGAAGAACTAATTGACAAAATCTCCTTTTCAGATCTGGAAATACATAGATTACCTGAACTGCCATTTTCTGTTTAACATAAAAATAACAAGATGCCGCATATGATCCCTGTGACTGCATTCTGGCCTTCTCAGTTTGTAAACACAATTACTTCGTTTATTTGCAGAGAGCTCCTTCTTTTTATTCATCCAGACATTAGTAAACAAAGAATTACAACTTATTAATAGGGTGGTGTGCAATGCTGGTTATTCTCCTTCCAGGTTTAGATGGATCAAAAACAAGTTGTTTTTGCAGAGTTTCTTCTGCAACAAGGATGAACTTAGGATAGTACAATCCCCAATACTGTTTTTAAACCCTACATCACTGAGAATATTGAATCTTTTTTAGAAAGCATGGCTTTAATTTGCTTATAGTCCCCAACCTACACTGTGAAAAGTATTATGTAATGATAGAGAGACAAATGAAAAATCAGGAGTCTACAAAATTTTGTTACAACACACTCTTGGGAGGAAATTATTTACATTGGAGCTACTACTAGAATGCTATAGTCCTGTATCCTGGAACATCAAGATGATATTAAAAACAACAGACTGGCAACTGAGTTATTTAAAAAAGTATTAGACCAGAGTTATCTATCATTTTGGCACACTAAATTACTTAAGCAGTGCAATGATTGAAGGGAGTTATTTATATGTGAGAACCTCTATATATCCTACCATAAATATCCCACAATTGTCGGTAACCTTATTCAAATAATTTAATTTGCAATTTTGTATTTACATATGTACCACAATCATATACATCTTACTAAATTGCTTTTTAAGGATTTTTGGAAAGTATGATGTCAATTACTATGCACTTCTATAATTTTTCAAAAATATTTTAATTTTTTCAATTAATTTCATTTTGTTCTGTATTCCATCCACGTGCCTTAGATAATTTGAAAAAGTCCATTCAATAACCGAATGTTCGAAAATTAATTGTATTCAATTCTTTTTTGCCTGAGGATCACAGGAGAGGTCAAAATCGAAGCTAAACTTGATCTCCCAACTGGAGATGATGTCAATCTTAGGATTTACATTCTTTCCCTTTAAAGTAACAAAGTTTGAGTCTAACTGCTAACATTTTTCTCTTTCATTTTTTGTGAATTTTGTAGCAGTAAGGGCCTGCCAGGACCTTACACAAATACATCAGTGAATGATAGGAATCACCTGAAAAAATTTAATTATTGATTGGGTAAGCAAAGAAAAAGAAATCTAAAATCTATTTGGGCAATTAAGAATTTTTTCTGAAATTAACTTTTTGAATTTTAAGCAAATTCAACAGAGAAATTTATTATTTAGGGAAATTATTAGAGAAATTTATTAACAGAGACCATTATGCCAAAAATTGTAGCATTAAGGCTGCGTTCACACTGCCGACACAACAAAGACATGCTTTTATAATTTGTCATCATCTGTAAAACATTTATGCTAACATTTTACTAGTCGTCATTGATCTTTCGTCTTAGTTGTTGGTCATTCCGAAGCCAACATTCAACAATTGTAACAACTCCAGTCAATATGAACTTCCCACAGTTCTTTAAACAAGATGGAGGAGCAACTGATCTCGTATACGCAAGAAAGACTTTGGCTATATGCATATGTAGGAGAGATTACAGAGATGTTGATAAAAAAATAATAGCTGGAAGGAAATTTCAAGGACCTAATTCAATATATTTTGTATAAATATATTAAATTTATAGTATCTAAGCAGAGATATTCATTTAGTGCAAATAATAAATTAACAACAAATTAATATATTATTATATAAACGATGGAAATAAATATGTTCAAAATTAGGAAATTTATGTATAATAAAAATTTTAAATAATTAATGATTAGTTGAATGTAATTAAAATAATTTACATACTGTATATTAATCTTTACTTTATTCTTTATGAC